CAAAGTGAGGGAAAATCTACAACTGAGTTAGATAAAACTTTCAACTGAGTTAGATAAAACCTACAACAGAGTTAGATAAAACCTACAACAGAGTGAGATAAAACCTACAACAGATTGAGGTAAAATCTACAAAAAAGTTAGATAAAACCTACAAAAGAGTGAAGTAAATTCTACAACAGAGTGAGATAAAACCTACAATTGAGTGAAATAAAGCTTACTACAGAGTGAGATAAAACATACAATAGAGTGAGATAAAGCCTACAACAGAGTGAGATAAATCTACAACAGATTGAGGTAAAATATACAACCGAGTTAGATAAAACCTTCAATACAGTGAAGTAAATTCTACATCAGAGCAAGATAAAACCTACAACAGAGTGAGATAAAACCTACAACTGAGTTGGATGAAACCTACAACAGAGTAAGATAACACCTACAAAAGAGTGAAGTAAATTCTACAACAAGGTGAGTTAAAACTTAAAATAGAGTGAGATAAAACCTAAAACTGAGTGAGATAAAACCTTCAACAGAGGAGGTTAAATCTACAACTGAGTTAGATAAAACCTAGAACAGAGTTAGATAAATCCTACAACAGAGTGAGATAAAACCTACAACAGAATTAGATAAAACCTACAACAGAGTGAAATAAAGCTTACTACAGATTGAGATAAAACCTACAAAAGAGTGAGATAAAACCTACAACAGAGTGAGATAAAACCTACAACAGAGAGATAAAACCTATAACAGAGTGAGATAAAACTTACAACAGATTGAAATAAAACCAACACAGTGAGGTAAAACCTACAACAGAGTTAGATAAAACCTACAATAGAGTGAAATATAACCTACAACTGAGTGAAATAAAACCTACAATAGAGCGAGATAAAACCTACAACAGAGTGAAATAAAACCTACAATAGAGTTAGATTAAACCTTACAACTGAGTTAGATAATACCTACAACAGAGTTAGTTAAAACCTTCAACAGAGTTAGATAAAGGCCGGTATACACGGTAAGATTTGTATTATAAGAACAAAATCTTACTGTGTACACACTCTTAATACAGTGTATCATTAGATTTTTTGAATCTTATAAAACTGTATTAAGAATAGAGCAATGTTCTATTTTCTAATACAAGTCTTAGCTTACCTATCACTTTCAACCAATGACATGTAATGACACTAGGGGTCATCCATTTTTATCATTACTAAAAAAAGCACAAGGTAAATAATAATGATAGACTTTACAAGTAAAAACATCTAAAACCACCTGGCTTAATGGAAAGGGGAAAAGAACTTGTAGAATATATAAAGCAGTGCATAGTATGATGATAGACAAGCTGCTATTGGAACCTCATCCTTCATTTTTATTTCTTTGACAGAGAGAGAAATATGGCGGGGTAAAACACATTGGAATACGTAGTTTATTTACTATCTTATAAGATATGTATAAGCGTGAGTACAGGAAAGTATTATAATACTTGCATTATACTACAACCTACAAATCTACAACAGAGTGAATGCCGGCCTTAAAATCTACAACAGAGTGAGATAAAACCTACAAAAGAAAGAAGTAAATTCTACAACAGAGCGATATAAAATCTACAACAGAGTGAAATAAAGCTTACTACAGAGTGAGATAAAACCTACAACAGAGTGAAATAAAGCTTACAACAGAGTGAGATAAAACCTACAATAGAGTGAGATGAAACCTTCAACTGAGTGAGATAAAACCTACACCAGAGTGATATAAAACCTACAAAAGAATGAAGTAAATTCTACAACAGAGCGAGATAAAACCTACAACAGAGTGAAATAAAGCTTACCACAGAGTGAGATAAAACCTACAACAGTGAGATAAAAACCTACAACAGAGTGAAATAAAGCTTACTACAGAGTGAGATAAAATGTACAACAGAGTGAGATGAAAGCTTCAACAGAGTGAGATAAAACCTACATGAGAGTGAGATAAAACCTACAATACAGTTAGATTAAACCTACAACTGAGTTAGATTAAACCTACAACTGAGTTAGATTAAACCTACAACAGAGTGAGATAAAACCTACAACAGAGGTAGATAAAACCTACAACAGTGAGATGAAACCTTCAACTGAGTGAGAGAAAACCTTCAACAGAGTTAGATAAAACCTACATAAGAGTGAAGTTAATTCTACAAGAGTGAGATAAAACCTACAACAGAGTGAGATAAAACCTACACCAGAGTTAGATAAAACCTACCACAGAGTTAGATAAAACCTACAACAGAGTGAGATAAAACCTACAACAGAGTGAGGTAAGATCTACAACCGAGTTAGATAAAACCTACAAAAGAGTGAAGTAAATTCTACAACAGAGTGAGATAAAACCTACAATAGAGTGAGATAAAACCTACAACAGAGAGAGATAAAACCTACAATAGAGTGAGGAAAAGTCTACAACAGACTGAGATTAAACCTACAACAAACTGAGATAAAACCTACAACTGAATAAAGTAAGACCTACAAAAGAATGAACTAAAACCTACATCAGAACAAAATAAAACCTACAACAGAAAGAAGATAAACCTACAATAGATTGAAATAAAACCTACACCAGAATAAAGTAAAACCTACAACAGAGTCGACTTAAGCCTACAACAAAAAGAATGAAGTGAATCCTGCAACAAAATAAAGTAAAATCTGAAACAAAATAACATAAAATCCCCAGCAGAGTAAAGTAAAACCTTCTTGCACAACTCACTAAAGATAGACACTTAACATCACTGATAAATGGCCTGAAAATCTCCATCGTTTGGTAATATATTGGCACATATCATGTGATCAAAATAAATCTTGTTAAGATTGAGATATCGACAAAAAGATTCTTACTTCCATTCCTGCGTCGCTCCATTGATGACAGTCGTCTACAATCCTTATGCTTTGGTTCATTTCAAGGGGAGCAGAGAGTCGACTGGATCCTACAATAATATAAGTACACAGTTTAAGTTAATTTGAAGGAAGCTCTAAATATTAACAAAAAGTGGTTGAAGACTGAAGTCCTTTAAAATACTATTTACAATGTATATCAGTAATTTCTCTTTGAAATCAACTGCAAAGTCTAAGGGTCCTAGGTTTGTGAACCAATCTCCATGTCCTTTACAAAAATTACTTTGTAAAAAAAGATGTTTGTAAAACACTTATCCCCCCTCCTTCCCAAAATAATTAGATTTTTTTAAGTACAAGTGGTATAACTTTCTCAGAAAGGGCTCGATCGTACCCAAATCAGAACTTGACCTCGATATTCATTTGATAAGATATGTATACTAAATTTCATTTTAGTATGTACAATGGTTGTGAAGAAAATGAACAGAAATTTATGATTTCTAAGGTGCATTTATATTAGTTGAAGTGATTAAGGAAAACACTATTCTATGGTATATGTTCATATTAAAGGAATTGACACAAAAACATTCGACAGATTTTACCATCAGTCTGGACTATTCCTGCGGGAGTTCGATGCGAGGCTGAGGGGATCTGAGATGGTGTAGTTTCCCCTGATGGTACAGAAGCTGAGCTTGATGGGAATGTCTCATCTCTTGGTCTTATCGCCATGACAACAGGCTTGTCTGGCTTGTTTGAAGAGGAAGTTGAAGATGGGCTCGTACTAAGAGTGCTTCCACCCTTAAAAATGCATTAAAATCAGGTAAACTGAACAATTCTAATTGTAGAATTAATTTTTTTTAATTGGTATTAAAATTGGTTAATAAACAGAGACATAAATGGCAGTGATGTTCAGAAGTTCAAAACTTCAGGATAATAAATATACTGGCATGTTGCTGATCCTATTGCATTGTACATGTATTTTTGAATTCATGCACTATATGTTCTTGCAGAATATCTACAAAAGTTTAAACAAAAATAAACTTGCTTTGACTTAATTGAAATATTACAGATAAAAACGTTTTTCATTTAAAGTTGGCACATTTCAAGCCTTATGCAGCAACTAACACAATGTCATGTGACATTAGTCTAGACGCACCATATATCATGTGCGGTTTGATGTGCCTGATCAAAATTAAAGTTGAATAAGTATCTGGGCTATCCCTAACGGTTGCTCTTTCAACATATCCTGGCGTATTGTATTTTCGATCTACTTAGATATTATTTACTAATTTATTGCAAACTTTATAGAATCTAAGAAAATATGGGCTTAAAATGTTAGCATATGTGTCTATAAATAAAATGATTTAACCAATATTGCAGTTTTATGTTTCTTTTATTTATATGCCATAATATGGAGAGGGTGCAGTTTTGCTTACAAAAATATTAGCGTCTTGTGTTTTCGACCTAAATATAGTATCAACGCCCAATCAGTAATGGCTATAAATATCCACTGGATATTCCAAACAATAAACATGATAAAAATACGATTGTCTGTCTTTCAAAAAAACATTGAACAAGTTGCATATTTTGGTTGCAAATACATTTATTCGTTGGTTGAAGCCATCTTTCAGTAGCTGTTCATTTCCATAAAAAAATCAATGAAAATACGTTGCATTTTTCAGTAAAAATACATAAGAAAGTGCCCATATTTTAGGAAGAAAAAATTCGTTTGATCCACCCATTCATTTCAATTACGTCTCTTTGACAGAGATCTTAATTTTCTTTCAGAAAATTGTCGTCAAAAAATCTTTGTAATTAATCGATTACGGCTTTGATTAATCAACAGATAAAATGTGCATTAGTAAAAAGACTAGAATTTCTGACAACTGACTAAAACCATCGGGGGAATTCCCTTGAATTATTTTTTTGGGTATTTTCACAACAGTTGTGCTTCAAAGGTATTTTTCCAAGTGTAGCAACCAAAAATAATGTTCTGCCGTGCGGTATCTGCACGGAAAGCAGATTGGGAAAAATAGGTCGAAAATACAATACGGTCGAAAATAGGATACGAGACGATATGTGAATTGCCATAAAAATATTCAAACCGAGTCCAGAGCAGCTGGTTTGGCCAAAATGATAGTTGGCTTTGATGACTGGTAATCTCCATCATATGCCTCCCTTTCAATCTGAAATAAAACACATAAATCTTAACTTTATAGCGAGCGCAGCGAGCGTCGCGAAGCGACGCTCGTAACTGCGAGCTCTAACGACAACGCCTGGGCGAAGAGAAAATTCTGACTACTGTACATTCATTCTTTAGAATTTTTTGCTGCAGTAATTTTGACCCACAATGCATCACTTAGCAAAGTTGCGTTCTCGCGAGAATGACGGCAAATGTTCAACATAAAGTTTACTCGCCTCGATTAAATGGATACATATTGAAGATAGATTGTAAACATAACTTTTTTCATTTACTTTCAGCACTGTTCAGTTTTTTCTTGGTATTTGTAACTTACATACGACGTCATGTGACGTCAGAGTCTAGACGCACCAAATGTCACGTGCGGTTTGACGAGCCCGATCTAAATTAAAACAATAAAAGAGTTTGCGCTCGCTCTAACGGTCGCACCGTCAACATATTAGCAGGGTTCATTAATTTTATGTCTTGTGATAAGTGATTATTAACCTTTCTATTGCCACTGTTTGGACCACCGCCCCTTCTCCTGGGTCGCCTTCTACCTCGATCTCCTCTTTCTGGGTCAGACATTATCCTGTTTAAACGGCAATTCTTTAAGTCAATCAAATTATTTCTGATACAACGCTATTTATATTTAAAGGACGTCTTCTGGCTCAGTCACTGGCGTCTGGCCACTAGCCTACTTTCATTTAACAAATTTGAGTACCCCGAACCCGATACATTTAAATATCTACAATGTGCGCCAGGGTAAATAAGTTTGGCTTTCCAACTAAGATGTCATCTCTTATTCTATCAACTCTTTTTTTTAGAAGAAGTTGCACAAACTAACGCTCTTTAGACTGAAAAATATTCGTTAGAATTAAAAATAAATATAAATAATTTTTAATTCTAATATTTAGCTGTTAACCCCCTTCCCCTCTCTCGTAGCGTTTTTTTTTTAAATCAGAAATGTCCTTGACGGATACATGCAACTACTAAGTAGATATTAATCAAATCATTTTGTTTTAGTCTATTTCTTTTTGAACAAAAAATGTTTTTATTACCACACTAAATCACAAAACTTTTATAAAAGAGACTTTTAAAAATGTTTAATTTCATTACAATTTTGATCAGGATGTATGATAATTTTACCACCAAACTCAAATAAAAAAATGCTTATGGTGATGATCCGTTATTTTTCCCTTTCTACCAAAATTACTAAATTGTGATATTTAGAGTTGAAATTCAAATACCGCAATATGCATGCATATTTATTCACACGCTTGAAAAGTGGGAGGGTATAATTATAGTAATCGGGATGTCCGTCCGTCCGTCTGTCTGAACGTACGTCTGTTCAAAAGGAACACTAAGTCTTGTAAAATTCTGCAAAATAAAAATCTTAGATTATATCTCGTGATACTAACACAAATGATTTGTTTGTAGACCTATTAATGATTTAGTCTACACCGCTTGAGGATGATTTCATACAAATGTGATTGTGATTTTACTGTAAATGATATGAATTTTCAAGATTTTCCTTTGTAAAAGTTGGATCGTCGGTTGTGGTCACATCCTAAATCAAGGGGTCTAACTTGGTATGAAAAATTATGATTTGCTGTTCAGGAGGACGATTTTAAACATCCCCTAAATGTATTCTTATGTAAAACTAAAAACTTAGTGATCCTATCCTACTACGGAGGTGATAATTCAAACAAACTTGAATCTATGCACTCCAAATTTCATTTATTCTCTGCCCAGGAGTTTCTTGAAATTTTTTTTTGTTACATATTTCCATTTCTTAATTATTTTAATTTGAAGAGGATATATATAACATTTACTATTGGAGATTTATATTTTCATGTTTTCCAACATACTAGTAGGTAGATGAACTTGTGATCTGCAAATCAAGATGACGCCATTAACAGATGAAGTAGGAATTGGGAAGACCATATTTACGGATAGCTTTAGAGGCAATACACACTCTAATATTAATCTCACAAACTTCGGTGAAAAATTGTTTAAGGACCCTCTCTACACAAGTGCAATTTTTTTTTTAGATATTGAGAAAAATATATTGTATAAAGGAGGTAATATTGAGCTTATTTATTCAATTTTCATCGTATGGTGCGTGGCATATACCCCCAGGAAAAATGTTTAAAGACAACACAGTATCAGTGAATAGAAATCCTTGTTAATTGCTTCAGTAGAGAAAATACATGGAAGTAACATGTTTAGTTAATTTATCTTGGTCATTTGAAATGTCAAGAATACTAAAATTCAAAGTAAAATATTGCAAATTTCTATGTTTTAGAATTTAGATCTACGGGCAGATCACTCTAACTGCAAAAAATACCTTAGAATCAGAACTCTTTAGTGTGCAGTGTAGAGAGAGTTCTTAAAGTAATAGCACGCAACAATTTTCAAATATAAACGTGTTTATTGAAACTTCAACGAAAGGCATTGAACATAAAGATCTTTTATTGGAGAGCAAGGATTTGATTTCATGCATATAATAAATGCATTTTAATTAATATAAAAATACAAGCACTGGTATTTAATAGTTTTGCGACGCTTTTGGCCATGGCAAAATTTGCTATACAGCTGAATCCAAAAATTAAAATTGTGAATTCCAAATATCTTATTTACAACGATATTTCCTCTTCTTATTTGAGCATATATTAGGATGCTTTGGAGGTTTGCGGCAAGCTGCACAATTTCTAATTCTCCATGTAGCAAAGTAACTTCCACATCCGACACATTTTGGAACGTTCTTAAACAGACCTATACTTGGATCAGATTGAGAAGAGCTCTCACATGGTGCACTTGAATGATCTTCAAAATCATCAGCTAGTGTTGGGAGTCTTCGTTCTTGGTTCAACACATCAGTTTCATCTTCCGAATTATCCGATTTCTCATAACGTACCAAGTATTCATCATCGGGATCGATATCCTCTGTTAAATTTTCCCGCCAAGATTCTTTCATGTTGGAATTGACATCGAAAGAGGAGGATTCAGAGCATTTCGATCCACTCTCAGAGGATGTTGGTGATAGCTGCAACTCATCTCCATAATTAGTATCCTTATTTTCTATTCCATATCCTTTTGATTCGAAAAAATCTTCATGAATCGAGGGCCTGTATACGTCCACATTTGTCTTGGGTGTTGAGGATGAACGTGTGTTAGCGTCAACTTCAAGAGAAGACAGCCAAATAGCTTCCAGCTCTGGATCTGTTTCACTTCCACTACCTCCTGACGCCTCAGCAATTTCATCCTCAGAAAGATCGGATGTGTATCCAAAATCAGATTCACTTCTCATTCCATGAAAACTTCGAGGTCCATCTTCTCTCTCCTCCATATGCACAGCTGACAGTTTGTTCTGTGTAGGATTTTGACAAGACAGACGGTGACTTGTTGCCTCTAATTTTTGCAATACGTTGACAGTTTGGGGTCGTATGGCTTCTTCCTCCCCACCCTTCGTTAAGGCATCCATGTGTTCTTTGACAGATGCGACAACCAAACATTGCAAATCAGTTTGACTCCATTCAGGCCTATCATTTCGATTAAGACTATCCTCATCTACACTAGTCTTCGTTGGAATCCATAGGACCTCGCCATCGGACTCCGTGGTTTCTTCGGCGAAATCTGAAGCATACTCCACTTCATCAGCATTATCCTCGAAATTTTCATCTATGTCTCGTCTAGAGACATTGGCGTTTTGCTCTAATGCAACTGATGTATTCAATACTTCATCTTTTATGTCTTCCACATCATCTTCTATGTTTGCAGTCTGAATCCACTCAGTTGGATTATCCTTTTCTTGGATGAAGTTGAAATCTTTCTCTGGTGATTCTTCTGAATCATGCTTAGTTTTTATGTTGCTAACAGATGCATTTGAAGTTTCTCTCTCCGATTCTAACCATAAAGATTCAACTTCCGAATCAGTATCAGTGTTGCAATCATCTGAGGCGTACCCTGCGGTGTCATCAGACGAAGAGGAGAAATCTTCAATCATTTTTAGCTCTACTGGTCAGAGACCAGTAGAGCTTATGCGATAGTAATGCGTCCGGCGTCCGTCCATCTGTCTGTCTGTCTGTCCGTCTGTCTGTAAACAATTTTTCAAAACGCTACTCCTCCTACAATTTTAGTCTGATTTCAATATTACTTGGCACACAAGTAGACTACACTAAGATACATAGAATAGTGCATCGGTTTTTGATTTCGATGAACAGTGTTGCCATGGTTACTAAAAATAGAATTTTCTGTGAAATTCCTTTAAAACGCTACCCCTTCTACAGTTTTTGTCTGATTTCAATATAACTTGGCACACAAGTAGACTACACTAAGATACATAGAATAATGCATCGGTTTTTGATTTCGGTGAACGGTGTTGCCATGGTTACTAAAAATAGAATTTTCTGTGAAATTCCTTAAAAATGCTACTCCTTCTACAGTTTTTGTCTGATTTCAATATAACTTGGCACACAAGTAGACTACACAAAGATACATAAAATAGTGCAATGGTTTTTGATAAGTACAAACCAGTAGAGCTACAGTCTCAACAGAGACTTCTGGTTTCTTCTACATTACCAATGCCTACAGGCTGAATTTCATTCGAAAAAAATCATTCCCTCTGAAACACTTATTCTTTCGATTGCATTTTTCTCCACACTGCCAATATCTACAGATTCAATTTCATTGAAGAAAATTTTTCCCTCTGAAACACTTTCGATTGCTTTTATTTCCACATTGCCAATGTCTACCGATGCAACTTCACTGAAGAAAACTGTACCCTCTGAAATACTTGACCTTTCGATCACATTTTCATCCACATTGCCAATGTCTACAGATGTAACTTCATTGACCTCTGAAACAATGGCCTTGACATTTTCATGAGCACCAATGGTATCAATGGGCAAAATTGGCGATGCTACGGGTACATCACTTGTATCAGATATGAAATTTTGTACACTCTGGGCCATTGTGTCCTGTAATAAATAAATAAATTTATTGTTACGTTACAAAGACAACTTTTCTTTTAAGATTTCTTTAAAAAAATCCTTTTAAGAGCGATGGAAAAACTTTAGATATCAAGATTTGAAAAAACTTGTAAATGAATTTGTCACTATGTATAGAAACAGCAGAGATTGAAAAATGAAAGTTTTAGCACATAGGCGACTCGAAAACAAATTGAAAGGGGGGGGGGCTTATTGAAAGTGGTGGAAGGGGGAGGGGGGCTAAACCAACAAAAATGGTAAACTTCAATTTTCAATGCCTATATTATATCTATCTTTGCAAAAATAGGGGGGGGGGCTAAGCCTCCTCCCCCGGTTCCGACGCCTATATAGCCAAAAAAGTATATTAATGTGAGGTTTTTTTTTCTGTTTGGATCATGCCGTTATATACATGTATAACTATTTCCTTTACCAGTTTAAATTACAAAAAATCAGCAAACACGCATAATATTCTAAAATATTTTGATAAAAACTTACCTTCACAACACTCTTCTTTCTGTAGAAAACTACAACAATTATCTGCAGGACAATCCATCCGACAACAACCTGAAACAAAGCCATGATTCATAAAATTCATATTAAATATTATTCTTTTTATATACATTCTCGACAATAAGTACAAGAATATGTGAATTACGGTTTTGGTGACATGTGAATATAAAGATACATACTTGTATAAGCTTAAGAACCTTCTCTAGCTACACTGCACGTGCACATTAAAGAATTCTGATTCAATGGTATTTTTGAGCAGTTAGTGTGATCTGCTCTTAGAATTCTAGAAAATTATTTTATAGAACATGTATTAGTAGTTTTAGATAGGCCAGAACTTAGCAAGAGTTATTTCCCGTTGGTCGCCTTATTGGGGGTCCAAATGCTCTTATTCTTTGATTGATTGATTGTATATTGTTTAATGTCCTTCTCGAGAATTTTTCACTCATATGGAGACGCCACCACTTACCATTGGAGAGCAGGGAAGGATCTTTTTCGTGCCGGCACCTACTGCGACACGAGACCTTCGTTTATACGGTCTCAGCGGGATTCGAACCCACAACGTAAGGATCGACTCCTTACTTCGCGACTCTAGAGCAGACGTTCTAACCACTGCGCCATGCGGGGGACCTTATTCTTTGAGTGTCATTGTTCAACCAATTTTCAATTTTTATATTTGATATTTTGAATTAGAATTTATTATTTTTCTGGGGTATAAGAATTTTTAAAAGCCTAATTCATTAAAGATCTTCCTACAAATATTTCTAAACTTTGGCGAGACAAAGGGGAGGAAAAATCACCAAGTCGACCTCCAATGTTTGTAATCCATTCAAATATTCTTAAAATTTTAAAAGGCCAAAATAAGTTAAATTAAATAATCATAAAAGTTTTTCTATTCATGCACTTATATATTGTTGTGTTTGAATATTTTTCCTGATGGTACTGATAAATACCACATACCATACTATAAAAATTATTAAGTAAAAAAGCCCACTACATGTATTAACACATTTATAAAATATATTTTTTTCAATGTCCAAAAACATTTAGCGCTGGTGTAAAAAAGGTCCTTAAATTATCATATCGAATAAAATACAGAAAACATACCAGTAGGACTCCATAGGACGTTGGACACACAGGTTCGGGGACTTTTTGCAAACCAAGAGTTTGAAGAATTGTCTCCAAGAATGATGGATCGGGTTCACGACTAAAATGGAAAAATCACTTAGAGTTATTAAATAACATTTATTTCCCTTACCTAATTTCTATGAAATCAAACATTTAGACACGTTTTGAAAAGATCTATTATCATTTTCAAAAAAATCTTTGTTTTACGAAATTCTTCATACTTAAAATTAAACTTCAGACACGTAGATATTTACCAGTATATGTAATCCGCAAGTTTATAAGTGGAAATACTGGCCAAAAGAGCATCCACTACACCGAAACAAAAAATCTTTCTTCTGATTGACATTTTTCTTGCTGTGTTAACTAAGGCTGAACTCTTTTTACCTGAAATTCGCAGTTGTTACCTTTGTGACGTCACGTAATTGTTCATGACGTTGAAGTCATTAAAAAAAAACATCATTACTGAACTAAAAATTATGTTACATACTCTATTTAATAAGAAAGTTAATGTAAGGATCAAAAATTTAACTAGTATCAAAGACTATTATTTTTTTTAGATTAACATTGCTTTTATTAATCAATTAATTTATTTATTTATTCATTCATTGCCCGCTTGTTTCCTGATTGAAATAAATCGCAGAATTGTCCTGAGATTTGAATAAAATGGTTTGAGTTAAATCATATGAGGTATTACATTAATTTTTTTTTTTATTTTAAAAAAGAGTCATTCTTATCGATTAATATTATGGAATTCCATATACGACAGCCAACTGCTTGCTGCTTACTGCTAGCCCAAATTTCTGCTGACTGATAAATCCAAATGCCAACGGCTTTGCTCAGAGATGATACAGCCTGTTTTGTTTTACATGATCTACGAGTAGAAGAAGTGGGTGGGTGGGGGATTCGGGCCACCATTTTGGAATTTTTATTTACTATGTTATTCAATGTATGAACAAAACCAATTCAAAGTGACTTTGCAGGGACCCCCCCCCCCCCCCCCCCCGAAAACGCGGATCCCTGTTAAGTTGGTATGAAAAGTCATAGATATGAATATTTGAAGCATAATCCATCCCCTACTGAAAACAAATTTAAAATTTTACGTTTAGGAAATGAGTTTACGTTTTTTCTCTGTCAAGACATTTCTAGATTTGTTTACTGGGATTGGACCCTCCTGGAAAAATTCCTGGATCCGTGCCGTTTTTGTTTTGAAAAATAATTAAACTATCAATATGAATATCATTTATTAAAAAATGTTTAAATATGTGTGGGAGTTAGCATTAAGCAATTGGCATTAAGCAGTTGGCTATCGTATATGGAATTCCATACTTAACACCAGGGGCTCATAACATAAAGCTTGCTAAGTTTTTGACTTAAGTAGGGTCGTAAGTACGGTTTAGGCACAATCTTAGGACCTGTCTAAGTACTGCTTAAGTATGTCTTAAACCGTAACATAAAGCGAACTAAGCTAGGTCCTAGCTAAGTCAGACTTATGTTAAAAATATTTCACATGAGTAAACCTATAGTTTTTGATTTTATATAGATAAAATGTTATATGTGATTCAGTTAGGGTTTAATTAATTACATACATGTATTAAAGTTGACGTCCTTACCTATCGGTTTACGTTATGTTAGATTAGATTTCGTATTAAAATTATAATTATGTTATAAACTATTCGGAATGTTTGTAAACAAATACTGCACGGTCAAAAAGTGACGAATTGTGGTTCATTGTATGTTTTCAATTTACCTCTTGTAACTCTTTTGTTTTGATAAATGTTCACTTACCCTGTTAAATTATTATCACAGACAAGAAAAGATAATCGACCGCCTATTCACTTGAAATTGAAACTCTAAAGGTTCGATACATTTTAAATCCCCGCTATGTATAATGCCATGTATGTCAGGCAGAAGTTTAATGATATACTTATAATCAAGGATACAAAACGAAAAAAATTGGGAAATTTCTATAACCGAAGTCCTACTAGTTTCAGACGTATCCCTAAAATTAAATTTTGTATTTACATGTTTGCTGTGCTGTGAGTGAAATTGGGATCAGTGATCACCCCACCCCCCATCCAAACGAAAAAATAAAATTCTTAAATCAGCGTCAAATATAGATAATTATTTTCTTGAATGCATAATATGAATAGAGGAAACTTTAAACATCGAAAGTCAACATTGAATAATTCTAAATATATGTACAAGAAAGTTAAGATATACTTAAGTCACCTCTACCGGCCGCCTAAGTTTTGCTAAGATTGCCAAATCTAAGTACACTTCTAGTTACGGTCTTACGTTTTAGACTGTACTTAAGTCCTACTTAAGCACGGTCTAAGACTTAAGTAGCCTTTATGTTACGACCCCCAGAACAAAAAGTCCACTCGTTTGATATTTGCCAGAAAACTTACAATTTTTTTTTTAACTGTGAAAAAGTTTGCTGACCTGCTAACAGATGATAATAACTTGGATATACTTTTTGAACCACAAAGGATGATCAACAATATGATTTAGGTTAAAGAGATTAGCGAGAGTCCTATCATTGCATAAAGTATCAGAGACATTATCCAGTGATGGGGTATACGATGAGAAACCGATGCGTTTTTTTTTTGTTGAAAATAGCGTGGTTGCCGGCCCGGACGGTGACTGAGGCCATTTTGTGAATCGGTGGAGTCATCGTTATTAAATACTTCGTAGTTAAAAATCAGCGATGTCTCTAACGATGCCTCACATCGCTCCTCATCGGCAACCCATCATTAACACATCTTTCAAGGATCGGCCGATGTATGGCCGAGCATCGTCCAATATCCGTTGAATCTGAGGTCATCGGGGGGGGGGGGGGGGGGGGTGAATAGTGTTCAACAGATAACAGCCGGTCATCGCTCGATGTTCGACTAAACATTGGCCCGATGTACGAACGATGTTTATCAATGTATGAGCGATGTAGTATACATCGGCCGATTATCATGGAACATCTTTTTATGATCAGCAATGCATCGCTAGCACTGGGCCTTTGTAAGTCCGGCAACCACGCCATTTTTATCATAAATCACATTGGTTGTCCATCGTATACCCAGCGCTAATAATGTGACTGATACTTTAAGGACTAAGAGGCCGATGTGTACCGATTTTGGGGCATCGTTAACACCACGGATTACCACTGGTCTACGGCTACCGGCCGGGAAATGTGACCTAGGCATAAAGGGGTCAGAGTCCCAAGAAATGCTAAGCTGTTTTCCTTTACTCCAGTTATCCAGTAGTGTAAATTTTAACTCCGCAAGGTCGAGGTATCTCATATTTGATATCTGCCACCTAACTGCCTACAATGCCAGAGTAAATAGACAAAATTTTTTGACTGTCTCAGTTCCAGGGGCCCGTTTTTACAAAAGAACTTACAACTAAGACCAAAAATTTCAGATTATAGTAAAATTTTGCGAAATTAATTGTTCTCTTTGAAATTGTCTGTGTAAAAATATCTTACCACATTCTATTTAAAAAGTTAAAAAAGAATTTTCGATATCATGTTAATTAAAAAGTTATATAAATAATTAAACTTGGTCTTAAGTCGTAATTTCTTTTGTAAAACTGGCTCCTGGCTTATAAGGGCTATTTAACGGTTATAAGTTATAACTTATCAGACATGTTTTGTTATTGAAATGTAAAGGAATGAGTTATATTAATATTTTGAGATGAAATACAGTTATAGTAATATTTTGAGATAACAGTATGAAAAACACAGAGAAATAAATCGAGAAACAGCGCACTTCTTTGTGCGCAATAAATTTACTCTTTTTTCAATGGGTAGCACTGTACGTAGCTCTCAAAATATTTTTGTCGGAGAGCTACAGGTTCTGCAGCTACATAATATCTGATGTTTTCCTAGCTTTTTTAAGATTTTGAAAACGAGCAATAAAACGATATTTGTAAGGACTAAACGAATTTACTTCTGATTGCTAGAGAGTTTGACATTCAATGCGGTTCGCAATCCATCCCGAGAATGCACTCCGGTTGGAGGCGGCGAATTCCCCGTGTTCGTAAAGGATAAAACGTACGCTGAACAAGGACCTTAGGTCCCCCGCGCAGTTCACGTCTATCGGGTCTGTTTACTCCGCTACAAAATGTAGTGCGTTGCATATACGTAAAGTGAAAATAGAATAAATCGTAATACTGTGAAGCCTTTTCGGTGTAAAAAAAACTTGCCTACTTACAACTTTCAATAGCATCGTAATAATGTACAACATAAGATTACCTTTGTCTCATCCATATATACTACAATTTGTGAAGTATGAAATCCTTATTGATGGATAATATAAGACTTACGCTTGTTTCCATAATCTTTATGCGAATACCAGAGGTAATAAAAAGTAAATAAGACCAGAGGTAACTTTATATCGTACATCTTTAGGGCGACCATAGGTCACCTTATACTGTACATCAAAAGGGAGACCAGATGTCATCTTCTGTTCTATATCATCTGGGTTACCAGACGCCACCTTATATTGTACAACAGTAAGGGGACCAGAGGTCACCTTACATTGTATATCAGTAGAGGGACCATAGGATACCTTATATTGTACATCAGTAGGGGGACCGGGGATTACCTTATATTGTACATAAGTAGGGGGACCAGAGGTAACCCTGTATTGTACATAAGTAGAGGGACCACAGGATACCTTATATTGTACATCAGTAGGGGTACCGGGGATCACCTTATATTGTACATAAGTAGGGGGACCAGAGGTAACCCTGTATTGTACATAAGTAGTGGGACCAGAGGTTACCTTATATTGTACATCAGTAGGGGGACTAAATGACACCTTATTTTGGACATCAGTAGGGGGACCAAAGGACACCTTATATTGTACATCAGTACGGGGGCCGGGGTTAACCTTATATTGTATATCAGTAGGGGGACCAAAGGACAACTTATATTGTACATCAGTTGTGGAACCAGGGGACATCTTATATTTTACACCAGTAGAGAGACCAGGGGTCATCTTATATTGTACATCATTAGGGGGACCAGGGGTCACCGTATTTTGTATACCAGTAGGGGGACCAAAGGACACCTTTTATTATACATCAGCAGAGGGACCAGAGATCACCTTATATTGTACATCAGTAGGGGGACCAGAGGACACCATATATTATACATCAGCAGGGGGACCAGGGGTCATCTTATATTGTACATCAAAAGGAGGACCATAGGACACCTTATATTGTACAACAGCAGGGTGACCAGGGGACATCTTATATTGTACATTAGTTGGGGACATCAATGGGGGACCAGAGGACACCTTATATTGTACATCAGTAGGGGGACCAGGGGTCATCTTATTTTGTATACCAGTAGGGTGACCAGAGGTC